CAGAACTGCCAGAAATCCTTCGCCAATTCCGCAAGTATTGCTGACCTCGTGCCCCCGAGGTGATTGATAAATCGAACTGCGGACACGTTGTCCATGCGTAACAGGATGGAACAGTTGGTCGACACGTTCAAGAGACTCCGTAAAGCAAACTAACCTGTCAACAGTTCGAGGCAATTGATATGAAGTCCCTGTTCCTCCCTGGACCATCTTCCTCCGGTGGAGAAAGGTCCGCAGCGCGCACCCCAACCGAGCAAACTGGCATCGGATTCGACTACGAGGTCTGGCGCCGTTCCGAAGATCGCGCGGCCATTCCAGGCTTCCATGTGTTGTAGCCACCATTTGATTTCCTCTTTGGCGGCACAGTCGAGAGGAACAGAGTCGGAGTATGAGTGCCCCAAACAAAGGTATTTTGCCTTCAACCGTTGAAGTGCTCTGTAACGTAGGGGTCCGGGGAAAATGGCCTGAATTGACGCCGAGAGGAGGCCTACAATCCTGGCTAGCTGTCTCAAAGTAAGGACAGGACGTGTGAGCGTCCTCCTGAGCTCCTTTTTGATGGCCTTGACCTTGGTCGCTGGGAGTAGGAGTGTTCCGGTCACCGCGTTTATGGTGAATCCCAGAAATTCTATAGCCTGCGAGGGTTCGATGACCGACTTCTCCCAGTTGATCAGAAAGCCCAGGTTTTCTAACAGATTCCTCGTCCAGGAGAAGTGTTCTTGCAACAGAAGCGGGTCCTGGGCCATGATGAGGATATCGTCCAGGTATATTATGAGCCGTACGCCCCTGCTGCGTAGGAGGGCCACCACTGGTTTCATGAGCTTTGTGAAGCACCAGGGAGCCGATGAGAGGCCGAACGGTAGGCATTGGAATCGCCACACGTTCCCTTCCCAGCGGAATTGCAGGAAGTGGTGGCAGTCGTCGGCCATTGGGACCGTGAGGTATGCGTCCTTCAAATCGAGTTTGACCATCCAGTCCCCTGTGATGAGGAGGTCCCGTAGGGAGTGTATACCTTCCATCTTGAAATGGTGGTATGTGACAAACATGTTTAAAGGTCTCAAGTTGATGACTGGGCGGACACCTCCGCCTTTTTTGGGTACCAAGAATAGGTTGCTTAGGAAACCCGGTGTGGTAGAGGGAACCGTATAGATTGCCCCTTTTGAGGCTAAGGCCTGGACCTCTTGAGTTATCAACTCCCGGTCCCGTGTGGAGAACACCATTCGACCGGGGGGTTCCAATTGGACTGGGTATTGTACGAAGTCTATAGAATAACCCCGGACCGTGTGGAGCACCCAGGCATCTGCCGTGATCATGTGCCATGCTTTGACAAAATGGCCCAGTCTGCCCCCCACCATAGTTAATGCAGACATATGAGGAGGTAGCGCACTTTCCATAAGGCCGTCGGCCATATGAAGAGCCTCTGGGTCCTCGGAAGTGCCATGGTCTGCTTCAAACCGGGAAAAATTGTGAGGCTTGCTTGGGTTCCGGGGGTGTGAATCGAGGTTGTACGGAGCCACGAGAGCCCCAGTACGAGCCCCGGGGCGAGCGGCCGGGCAGACGGCCCCGATATCTACCGGCCCCGCCAAAAACCCTCTGGTGGAACACTCGTTTCATGCTGGCCTGAGCCTTATCAAGTGTCGTAAAGGTGCCCACATACGTGCCTAGTTCTTTTACAAAGTTATCCCCGAATAAGAGGGCTTTAGCCTGGGGACCTGGTTCTGAGATTGCCAGATTAACTAGCTTAGGCTCAATTTTTATTAAAATCGCCTTGCGCCTTTCTGTGGCCACTGCCGTATTCGCGTTGCCCAGGAGACACACGGCACGTTGGATCCACCCCCGAAGGGCTTCTAGGTCCAGTGGTGTACCCCCTGCCAATGCGATTTCGACCATATCAAACATCCTCGCGATCGGGCCAAGGATGTCCAATACCTTATCCTGGCAATTACGCCAGGCAAAATCCAGGCCCTTCTTGGCCTTCCAGCCAGATTTTCCCAGGAATTGGGTGATTTTTGGGTCCACTTCCGGGGTGGCGCATGCCATATCCGGGACCGTGGGGCGTGGGCACTCTGCCCGCAGCTTGTTCCGCGCCACCTTATCCAGTGGCTTTCTGATGCGGGCAGCAATATATTTCGCTACGTGGTCCAGAGGGTACCACTCGGAGGACCTCGGGTGCTGTAAGGTATCCGGGTCGAACAAAGGTTCGCCCTGTGGGTCAACCAAAGCTGAGTCGTCAGCTCCGTCCTTATGGTCCATGTCCGTGCCCGTGGCGGAGCTATAGTCCCGCAAGTGAGTCTCAGTAGAGTCCTCATTATAATCATCAGAGTCCTCCTCTTCGGACTTGCTCTGAGCCTCCTCTAGCTCCGATTCAGAGTCGGAGGATTCCAGTAAGGCTTTAGCCCTCTTCCATTTCCTCACCGATTTTGCCCGGTGGGGGGCTCTTAGTTGTGGTCCAACCACAGGTTCTGTGACAGGACGTGCCCTGTCCGTCTGTAGGGTTTTGGAGGCATAATCGTCCAAATGACGAGATTTTTTAGCGGCCTTACGCCCACTAGGGGCCACCGGCTTATTCTCTGGGGGGTTAGCCATGGGGTTAGCAGGTAATTGCGTGGCTCTCATCGCCGTAGTTATGGAATGGGATAAATTCTCTGACATGGCACCCATGGCAGTAACTATGGCCTGCGTTACAGACTTCACCATAGCCGCGTCTAAGAGGGAATGCAATTCCTCTGAATCCATATGCTCCTGCGCTGTGTCCAACGCAGTGGGCATTTTGGGGCCCTGTAGGGGAGGGGTGGGCATGGTGGCCCTAGATGTAGTGGCACTATAAGCACTGTGGTCAGCCTGCATGTTAGGGATGGATGGCAGAAAATAATATAGGCAAGGCTGAGATTGACAACCCTAGCACAGGTAATAAAGTGA